AAGTTACGGTACGTAACGTACGTACGTACGTACGTTTACGTAGTACGTAGTAGTAGTAGGTAGGAGTAACTAATACTACTGTCTATTCGTCCTATAGACGTTATATAGTATTTTCTTATATATATATATATATATATAAGACCTTCCCACACCTACGTGCATAGTACCCCAACACATCACCCTTAAAATTCAGTTCAAATCCCAATATAAGATTTGAATCCCTCCCCTTCTTAAAAATTATATATTTTTTAAATAACTCTTTCTCTCTTAGACTCTCTCCTTTTATCCGTACTTTCCTTGACCATATGCCCTGGCACTTCTATGCATCTCCCTCTGTCTCTCCTCAGTAAACCCCCATCCATCTTTCTCCACCTCTGCGTTAATATCTCTCCATCTCTCTCTCTCCCTCTACCTAGCCTCTGTTCGTGGCCCTAGCTCCCCCACCCCCCCCCCCCTTTCCTTCTCTTCTCTCGTTATCTCGAATACAAAACCCTTGGGAACAACACATACCCAGAGTAACTCAATCCCAATTGTTTGTTAAAAAATATCAAAAGTTCTCTTCCCATTTTCAAGTAAGTGATTCAAACCCAAAGAAACTTGTTTATTTTTTGGTTCATTGCCTCATAATGCCCATAAAAATGGCTTTTTTTCTACATTTTATTCAATCACCGGAAATATAAGACATTGGTTTTCATCACAAGCAGTTTTAGCTTTTGTTGCTCCACCTCAAACCAGAGATCAAGACCTTATGAATACCCAATTGACTGAAATTGTATTGAGGAGCAAATGGTCTAAAGAGACTGAAACTGAATTGAAAAAGCTGAATTTCTCACAAAATGAGGCCATGTATGTAATGCATGTGTTAAAAAATCAGAAGGGGAATCCGCGTTTCGTGATTGGGTTTTTTCAATTGAGCTTCAGAGGCCATGGATGGTAGGCTTAGTTATGAAGCATACAATTCAATTATTATTATTCTAGGTAAGAAGGGTTATAGAACGGAGTTATGGCATTTGATCAAAACTAAGAGAAAATAAGTACAAAACATTTCAAGAGGAAGTCTACAAAGTCATTTAAAAGAATTTTAATGAGGTAAAATTGGTGAAAGATGCTGAAAAGTTGAAGGAATTGTTTCGAAACCTGAGTCCAATTCATTTGATGCAAAGTGCTCGCTCAAATAGTTAGGATATTCAATAAATGTGACTGGAACAAAGAAACAAGTAAAAATTGGGTTCATTGGACATTTCTTTATCTGACGAAATAGTAGTGAGTATTTTGGTGCTTCTCCCATGAAAGCTTTGAATTTGTTTTGTTGGGTTGTCGAATAACTATCTTTTAAGCATAGGGAGAACAATTACAATGCAGGGATTGTTCTTTTGGGGCCAAAAGATTGCATCGTTAAATTTTGGGTTGGTCAAGGAAATGAATAAGGAAAGCTATGGTATTTTAATGAAGCATTGGATTTATATGTTTACATTGTGAACAATCCAAACAAACCTTCCGTTCATTATTTTTCCATAATTTCTTTCGTTGGGTTTTGCATTCGATAATGGGAGAAGAGAGGGGGCTCAAGTAGAGGCAGAGTAGAGGGAGAGAGATTACGGGATAGCGATGATATACACAGAGCAAAGGGAGAAAGAGGGGCAATAACAAAGGGCTTGGCACAGAGAGAGACAGAGGGAGAGAGTTTAAATGCAGAGGTGGAGAGAGATGGATAGGGGTTTAGAAAACCCATATTGAGATGGGAGAAATTGAGGAGAGAGAGGGAGAGATGCACGGAAGTGCTAGGGCATATGGTCGGGGAAGTACGGATGAGGGGAGAGAGTAAGTGAGAGAAAGAATTACTTACAAAAAAATATTTTTTTAAAAAAATAAGGGGAGGGATTCAAATCTCACTTTGAGATTTGGATTGAAAACTACGGGGGATGTGTTGCAGTCCTATGCATGCAGGTGTAGGAGGGTCCTATAAGATCAGTCCTATAAGATCATTACTTATATATGCTTACATATATAT